TTCCAAGAAATTTATCAATTTCTAGATTTAAATAAATGATGCTATTTTATTAAAATGTATTATCTATTTTACTTGCACCAATCATGCTGTCGTATTGGCACACCTTTTTTTTTTTTTTTTTGGTGTTAGGTTCTTAATATGCCTAGGGTAGCTTTTATGATAACTTGAAAATAATTTATTAATATTTCTTTAGATGATTTATTGGAGAACACCTTGCGTTGCATGGGATTGACTCCAAAGCATTGAACTTTAGATCTGGTTTGTAACTTTGGATTTGGTTTATAAGACTGGATCTAAGTCTTGTGCATTATTGGCATGCATGTCAATTTTGTTATTACCATCTTTTTTCTAAAATAATAGTTGTTTTTTTTTCTTAAAATTTAGGTTATATTTAAAATTATTGTGAAATATTGTGATTGTGGCTTTTTCAATATTTAACTAGAAAAAAATTATGTTATTGTTTAATAATTATTTTAAAAAGAGTCTTACACATTAATATAACCACTAAATTTAAAAAATATCAACAAAAATTTATTTAATTATAAGAAATTAATACTTTTATAAAGTGCTGTAAGCAAAAAAGCTATGTAAAAACAACCCAAACGAACTGTGGTACTTTTTCTATCCCAAAACAAATGTCGTTTTCAAATTTTGAATTTGTCTCAAATTAATTGTCCGTTTTTTCTTTTTCCTTTTCTTTTTTTTTTTTCTTTTAAGGATGACAAATATTTTTTTCTCTAATTTAACCCTATTATTATATATTTATTTTGATTAATTAACCTATTTACGAAAAAATCTTTCTTTATCTTTTAGAATGTTTTTAAAGATAATATAGGTAAATAGATAAATAGTTCCCAAATTTTTAATTTAAAGAAAAAATAAAAAAAATGACAATTATTATAACACAGGGGAAATAATTTATAAATATTTTTGCCTATCCAACTATCACAGCAATGTAATTAATCCTAGTCAATAGCCATATGAGAGCATGTACAATGGGAACAATGAAAAAAATTTATTTTGCTTCTACATCACCGCCAATGTAACCTTTCATCTTATTTTGTAACAATAGGAACATTGATTAATAGAAGAAATTCTTACAGCATATAAGAAGTCGAGTAAAAGGAATAAAACAATAAGAGATAATTCACCTGAATTTAAAAGCAGAGCACTCATCTTAAATTTTATGCTTTCACTCCTACTTCAAACAAGAAATCAAATTTAATAGTTTATCAAAGCATTAGTTGATGCAATCATATCAGCACCAATGCACCAAATCCCATCAAGAATTTTATAGTTAAACATGCTTATGTGAGAGTCTTAGATGGGTAATCTCTAGAAAAGTCCTCAAGTTGCATTTCTCATCCCCATTTTGTTCTTAAGGGATATCGTAGCAGTTAAAAGTTACATATTTCATATTGAAGATTATAAAGTCAAATTTTGATACAAGTGGGAAGGAGTTAGAAAGTAGACAGCTATTTTTGTTATATAATTCATCACCTAATATTTAAAAAAAAAAACCCCATTAGTCAAATTTAAATCATTTTAACAAAGGATAACTTAAATGCAGAAAAATTGATGCTCTAAAGTAATTTCATTTTTATAGAAAATACATATTGTATTAAATAAATATTTTTAACCATATCTTAATATTGTATTAAAAATAGATTTGTTACTAATAAAACCTATGTTAAATTGTTAATTACTAACCTAAAAACCTTCATTTTGAATAACAAGTTAATTTCCATTATACAATATATTATGCATACATAAACTAAAATGTATGCCACATTTTGGTGTTATTTTGAATATGCATCACCATAAAATTTCATTAATCACAGTTTATCACTGATATTGTCAAAGGCTAAAGGTTTCTAGCAAAAATCTTCTAACACACCATACCATACTCGAGCATTCTGAAGATTGAGCACAAGGAAGTAAAAATGTGAATAAAACCTTAAATTCAATTTGAAGCAATATGACTACCAAAAAAGAGGAAATCTCTAGGTATTCTAGATTAGAGACACCACATTGAGATTAATGCACAACAATGTGTAGAAGACAATAACGCATGGCCAAATTTGCTTCAACTTTGATTAAGTAAAATTTAATTACTTAGAGTAATGAACAGGGGTAAGTACAGGAAGAAAACTTGGACAACCACCAAAGACTTGGTAAGTCTTTCACCTTTCACCTGCCTCCTGAAGAAAGAGACAAAACACCACAGACCACTTCAATTCTTATGCTTATAAATACACATGTTTCCGTGAGAGGCTTCTCATCCCTCACAAAGAAACTTAAAAGAATTTAAGGTGGCAGTAGCCTTATAACAATGAAAAGTGCTTATTTCCTTGTAGCTTTTGCCCTCTTGGCTCTTGCTTCCTCCTTTGCCTCTGCAGATGACCCCAGCCCTCTCCAGGACTTCTGCGTAGCCATCAATGACACCAAGACTGGTGGCATGTCCTCCTTTTTCGACATTGCATTTTCTAGAAACTTCATTAAAAAGTGTACTATATATTTTTTGGTTGGCATTTACACTATATATTTTGGTTGGCATTCTTTCCAATAACACGTCTTTGGTGCACTGTTTGTCAATGGGAAGTTTTGCAAGGACCCAAAGCTTGTAGCAAGCGACTTCTTCGTTTCAGGGTTTGACAAGCCAGGAAACACATCCAGTGCGGTTGGATCTGCTGTCACTCAGGCATTCGTTGAACAACTTCCAGGCCTTAACACTCTTGGTGTATCCCTAGTTCACATTGATTTTGCACTGAATGGTGGTCTTAATCCTCCCCACACTCATCCTCGTGGAACTGAGATTCTAGTAGTCCAAGAAGGCACCCTATTTGTCAGCTTCGTCTCATCTAATCAGGATGGTAACCGTCTCTTCACCAAAGTGCTGAACAAGGGAGATGTATTTGTTTTCCCTATTGGTTTGATTCACTTCCAGCCCAACATAGGGGAAACTCCTGCTGTTGCCTTTTCTGGTTTGAGTAGCCAGAATCCAGGCACAATCATAATTGCAAAATTCAGTTTTCAAATCAATCCACCCATTAATCCTGATGTTCTTACTAAGGCCTTCATGCTGGACAAGAATGTCATCAAGTATCTCCAGTCTGACTTCTAAAGGAAGAAAAAAAAAAGTTAGAGAAGACTTGAACCAGTCATGTTTCAACTCTTGCTTGTCTGGATTGTGTTTGAGTGCCATCCCTCTGTTTGATTATTGATTCCATATAATACCTCATCTACTACATAATAAGAGGTTGTAATAAGAAGTTGCTTATAGCTCAATACATGTAATCAAGAAGTTTGCCTATTGCTTATTAAATATTTGCATTGTCTGCTCACCAAAAAGAATTGTTTCCCATGCTAGAAATACTGCATTACAACGTAGGCTTAAATAAATTCCCATTCAAAACCCTTTCTTTAATCATAGTTGACACCATTTAAATGCTTAGACTTAGTTTTGTACGCTTGTGATTGTAGGGTTTTTGTTCTAGTTTTTATAAATTTTCCAATTCTAAATAAAAAACTTACATATTTTCATGTGTTTTACAACAAAATATTATGATTACTAGGAAAATAAGAACTAAAATAAATTTAGTATTATTAAACGCAAACATTTTTTGTTCCCAATGTTAAAATTTGTTTTAAATAATTTATTAATTTTTGATTCTTAATTTTAGTTTTCAATTCCAAAATTTATAAAACCCCAAATTAACTTAAAACAACAACCATACTAAATTAAACCAAAAAAAAAATCTAACTTTAACAACTCTTTAAACCGATCTAAATATACCTAAAAAGGCCCAATTAAAAATATCTTGAACCTCATTTAACTTTCACTATACAAAAAAGAAAAAAAAAAAAAGAAAAGAAAAGAAATAAGAAGCATAAAGTAAAATGTATGCCACATTTTGGTGTTACATTGAACACACAGTAACTTGGGACCATAAATGTCATATTTTCAAATTCTATTGTTTCACAATAACCTTGTAACACACCACTCCATACTTGAGCATTCCAAAGACTAAGAGTAACAGTGTAAATGTAAATATAACCTCAAAACTCAATTTAAAGCAATATGGCTACACAAACTCAGTCAATGACTAAGATATCCTTAGGCAGCCAATACAACAATATAAAAATAGACGTACTTAATTGTTGATTTATCTTTTCATCTACTTGAACATGATACAATTACTAACTTTGTTTTCCAGAAATGGGGTTATCGCTAACCATCAAACACGTATAAGCAGCCTTATTAACTCGAATCAAGTTTTGTCAACATTTGTGCATAAAATTAATGTTACTCTGTTTTTAACATTTTCACATGCACACAGAAAAAAGAGAGAAACAGTTTAACATGCAGACTGACAGACACAAACACAGAAAAATGACTGAGGCATCCATTTCAAATCCTGAGAACAAATGCTCTCAATAACAAGGTGCCAAGTACTTCTAATGTGAAGCCTTACTGAGTACCTAATGCAAGATCATGCCAAGTGTTTTCATCCACTTGTTGATTCTCTTGATCTGAAAATTAACAAAATTCCAAATTAAATATGAAGAAGAAAAAGAATGACAACATAAATAAATGGAAAAAGTTGGGAGAAAAGACAAGGGCTTCATAATAGGGAGGTACATACACAATTCATAATCTTAATCACAAAATATTGAAAGAGAATCTCAATAATAGCCTTTTACTTCTTCTAACACAAACCGAAGGAGAGATAATCAACACAATGAAAAATATGGATACTTTATCAGTAAAATATTGCTCTTCAAGAAATATAATCAGAAAATGTTCGCCATACTTAGGTCTTCAGTATCATCCGTCCGAGCAACCAGCACTGGTGGCAAAGGAAGATCTGTATTAATTGAGCAAAATATTAAAACATCAGTGTCCTTTCAATCCACCAAGCAGGACAACCAGTATGGGATTGCTACATGAAAAATGCTACAAATCAGAATGACTGCAAAACAACCCAAAATGCTAAAAAATAGAACTGTTTCCAATTATCCCTTCCTAAGACACCACTGGGATGGAACCTTAACCCATATACGTTAGTAGTGATACTGTGATAGTATAGATGAATATGGGTAGCATAGAAAATGAATCTATCTAGAATACCAGAAGACATGGGCAGAACTTATAAATAACATGGAAGGACAAGCCTACATAATAATCACTTTGCACCTAAGAGGTCAACACCCATATATGCAATGTACATTCAGATTTTAAAATAAATAATACCATCATCAGGTAGAGTGTCCCTCATCCATTCCTCATCAACAATATCTATAAGGATCCCCAAACTAAGTTCTGCCATAGCTGTCTCCTCCGTCACAGCCAGCCAATGCCCTTTCAAAATACCCAAAAGTGAAGAGATTAGTATCAGAGTGTCAGAGCTGCACACTTTCACTCCTCCAAAGTCAATATATTGCTAAAAACAAACACAGAAACCCCATGATTTGGATTTAAATTTCAAGTTAAAGATTTAAAAGAAAGCTGCTTGAAGATTTGAATCAGAAAACCCACATTTGGTAAAAGTTAAGCTAAAATTTCTCTGAATATTGTTAACTTTAAGAGGTATGCTGATGTGATGTTTGCACTAAACTCCAATTGGTTATGGATATTTTTGCCGTTTCCCAAAGGAAAAGAAAAAAAAAAAAATCTTCAATCAGTGGCTGTGGATTTTGGATTCACATAACAGTAGATGCAAGTTTGATTGAGACAATTTATCAAACTTATGGTAGATAAAAATTAGACAAATTGCCTAATTAAGGAGTCCAAGTTAGGCATGGGGAAGGCCACATGAACTTACAACCACGGTAAAAAAAATTTTTGCATACTTTAAAATGGGCGATATAATTCAACTATAAAGCGGAAGCAAAAGACACTCAAAGAAAACATTTCAAACAAACAAATAATTTCATTAAAATCTTTTATTAACGTTTTTTTAATTATTTTCTTACATATTTTTAGGTACTCTTTTTATTTTTTTTTAATCCTTTAATCCTTATATCATGGTTCTCCCCATTTGTTTTTATGCAAAATCTGAACATTTAAAAGAACAAGCAAAAGTTCTAGCATAAATCAAGCTTAAAGCAAGTGTTTATTAATTTCATAGACTCCATTTAGTGATTCAAAAGTAAAATAAACATAGAATAAGGAGTTTTGAAAAAAAAAAAAAAAAGGAAAGCAGATTCACTGTTAATGTTTGAAAGGAATGAAATTCCAAATTTCAATTTCAATTACAAGACAGCAGATACTTTGCACAGACTCACTACTGCCAAAACACTAGAAAGCAAAATTTCAGCAACTTAAAAAATATAAATCTAAACAATCACTTGCAGAAAACAAACTAAAGGGTGAGAAATCAAGACTTGCAAGCAAAACAGAATATGAACTCATATGTGATTCCTTTCTTTTTTTATCATGAAAAGAAATGGGAATTCCAATTCTATCCTTAGAATCCAGCAAAAATAGTTAATCACCAATAACATCTCAATATGCATTTCAATAGTATCAAGAATTTCAATCATAAAACTTTCTCAAGCTGATATCAAGACTTACCGAAAATACCTCAAACCCTATGAGTCCAGCTCCCAGATGGAAAAATCGGCTTGTAGAGAATGAGAGGATGCGCGGCTGCTGAAGTGCAGAAGAATAGATCCGTCGGGTGAACTCAGTGAACAGGCAAGGGAGGCTGAAACTAAAACGGCAAAAACCCATGTTAAGCCCCTCAACTTTTTCGACAGCAAGTGATAAGCCCCTGAACTAAAAAAGTGGCAAATAAGCCCTCCAACCCCACGATGGGTGCAAATCAGCCCTTCCGCTAACTGACTTCCTGACGCCGTTTGTCATCGGCTTGCG